GACATTACTGCCTCAGTCTCTTTTTGAGTTTTAAAAATGGTTCTTCAGTCAAGCATCACTATATTGCCCAAAGTTTGTGGTGGTAGATTTCCTTTTGGAAGCCAGTGGGCACTTAAAATGTGGAAACTCTGCTTCTCATTTGTAAATCTCAAAAGTTTAGAAATTAAAACAGTTTTTCTTGGAGTTCTCTCCAGTGTCTGTCTGATTCCACTCCTGCTGTTCCCATAACTGATGTGGGAGTAATTTAACGAACCAGATAAAATGCTTTTACAGGTGTGGGTTTGGCGTTCCGTTTACTTTCTATTCTCAACTAGAGATTACTGCCCACTCTCGTGGAATAACTCATTCCATCATAACTTATTTTTTAATGATCACCATGTTTTTTAATACATTAATCTGTCTAAGAATAAGTGACCAATTCAGCTGTCATTCTGTTTTGGGGCTCTGTCTTTAATATGGTTGCTTTCTTTGCCAAATAAATTAAAAGTGTTGTATTCATTTCCTAGATGATGTAAGCCAGCAATGACTTACTTCATAGAGGCATTCGAATTTCTTCAGGTTTGTAAATCTAGATATATTAGTAGCTTATCTTTACTGTAAATTGGAATAAGGCAGAGGATGAGAAAAAGCATGATGTTAAGTCAAGTCAACTGCAAACTCCAAATAATTTTCCATGGGGCTGTTATATACATTCTGCAAGAGGCAATCAAAAATTATGATTAAAGTTTCAATTAATAAAAATATATTGCAGTTTAAAAAACATTGTCAGCAATTACAGGATAAGTGTTCAAAGCGAGAGGGAGCATCTTGAAAAATTTCAGGAAAATTAATGGCACATTATCTTTTACACAAAACTTTTAAAAATGTAATCATTCATTATATTATTGATGCTTTTATTCAGCAAGCAATAATTTCTGTCAAATAACACCGTTATAGGGTTTTCATCCCCCTTATCTACCAGGTCAGTCACCATGCTAGTTCTGGCTCTTCTCAGAGATGAAATGACCATGAAAAGTAAATGTTTTGAATTGACTCAGAACGTCTACACAGTCACAGTAACACCTAATAACAACTCAGAAAGGAGGACACCCAGGGCTGCTTTAGAAACTGCCAAGGACAATGGGATGAATGTGTTCCGAGACAAGGGTAACATACTGAGTCTGGAATTAATGGCTGTATGTCTTCTACTGTAATTTTAAAAATTTGAACACTTACCATATGTTTTAATCACAGCTTGTACACTCCTGGTGCCATTCAGGTTTCTGTAAATGGTAAATGATTTCTAACTAACTAGCAAATATAATTTGATTTAATTACTTAGGATTTTACTGTTCTCAGAGAAACTCAGTTATGGTCTGGCTAGGTATTCAACAATAAAACCTGCAAGTTGTTGCAAAAGCAGCTTCCTATTGGACAACTCTACTTTTTGGCCCAATTAATTCTTAGTACTCTTTTGCAGGACATAAAGATGATGCTCACTGTAGGGCACTGGTACACGTGCATTACGATTTGATTCTCTTCCTTTCCTCCCTCCTTCCATATTCCTTTTAATTTTCTAGCATCAGATTGACTTATGATATCTTATAAATTTAATTATATGCAGATTGAAAGCCAGATTAATGGGCCAAAGAGCATATAAAACACGTAAGACAACTGTACTAAGTCAAATTAACATTTTAAAATACTACACTCAATATCTCCTTTTAAAAGTAAGCCTAGCAACTACAGTAAAACAGCAAGCAGAATCTCTTTCTTCTTTTGTTTTTGCTCTCTTGAGAGCTGCACTACTGTCTACAAGACTGCCCGAGCCAGACACCTGGAGGTCAGGCTGGGTTAGCCTCACAACACGAGCAGGAACAGCAATAGCTGCTGATTTATAGTCATTGTGAACACATTTGTTTCTTTAACTCTATGTGCTTCTTTCACATTTGTGACCATCGCCTCTTCTAGGAATCTCTGCATAACTCGTGGCCATCCTGTGCCGGGCTCTTAGATCCCTCACGGTCTACCATGTGGCCAGAGGAACTATGACAAAGCACAAATCTGGACACATAAATCCTTTGCTTTCGGATCCTCTCACTTGGCACCTACTGATCACAGGACACAATCAAAACTCATCAGCATGGTATCAGAACTGATGATCTGGCCTTGTTTAGTTTTTGGACTCATTTCTTACTATTTTTCCTGTTGACTGGAATGTTCTATAGACCTGGACTCTTTGCAGTTCCTTACCTACACCATCCCTCCCTTCTACTTCCTACTTCATATGATGCTACCAGTCGTGTCCCCTCTCCCGCGGCCTCCCTCCTTTTGTCCTTCAAGGTGCAGCGTGGGAATCATTCTCTCAGCCTTTTAAAGGCTGGCTTGATGCCTCCACAAGCAATGAGCCATGCAGCTGGGCTTCCACTGCAACTTCCTCCCTCTCTGCGGTGCTGCTGTAGGGATTCACTGGTGCTTCCTCCTGATCCACACAGTCTTTTTCATGGAAGGCTCTGCTGAGAATTCAAATGATTTCATCACAGCAGCTGCCATGCACAAAAGCTATGATGGCAAAAGATAATGCAGCTACAGAGACACTGTCGGGAAGATTTAATGAAAACTATTTGTCAGGAGCAAAATTTAATTGGGCTTGTACAGAGTAATCTGATTGCCAGTGACTCCTTAGCATATCAGGTTTGATCATTTTTTCAAAATGTGTGCTAACGTGGTCCCAGGTGAGCTCTGGACAACCCCAGACCTCTCAGGGCTACTACGCTCATTTCTAATAGGACACAGAGACCATTCTCCCTTGGCTGTTCTGAGGAGCACCCTTGCTGGCACAGAGCAGTCCAAGAATTGATTCTGATCCAGTTAAGACTGACTTAAGCAGTGGCTTGTGCATAAGAAAAATTATAGCAGGACATCTTGTAACTATTTTCTTAAATATAAAACACAGAGATATTAAATAATAGTTATCTCTTGTGAATTAAGGGGAATAGTTTACTTCTTAATTTCAGGGACTTGGAAACATGAATCACAGAGCTTGCAGAGAGAGCTGCATTTTTACATGATGTTTTTGTGGCTTTAAGTAATTTAAGTCACTAAATTGACTTGATGTTGCATACCTTTTAAAATAAAAAAGAGGTAAGGATCTGCAGTCACTCCATTGGTACATTTGCTTTTATCCGGGAGCACTTCCTCAGGTGATGAACAACCTCTTTCCAAACACATCTTTGCTTATGTCCATCCTTGATCCTTTTTAAAAATAAGTTGGTGGGCCATCAAACACTCTAGTAAGTTATAATAACTTGCATTATTTTCATCCAAACTTACCTGTATGCTTTCTTTTTTTCACTAGCAATGTAGCTCTATCAGGGCATCTCTTTAATTTCTGATGATGATCATATAAATGCTTTCCTACAGTTTAAGCATTTATTTAACAAATATTCTGAGTAGCTACAATATGTCAGACACTTCTGTAAACAGTGGCTTTAGAGAAATGAATAAAACAAAACAAATCCATGTCTTCACAGAGTGTGTATCGTCATGGGTACACCATATAAGGTAAATGATAAGATAAATAATAATAAATGATAATAATAATAATAATAATAAATGATAAGATAAGATAAATAATATGGTAGATAAACCCAAGGACTAAGTAGTTTAATGGTAAAATGGAGTCGTGGGAAGTTCCAGAAAAGCAGATGTAATATTACAGAGGGAGACCTACGGGGCTCAAAGGAGGCCTCTAAGTAAAGACTTGGAGGAAAGGCAGAACCCAAGTCCTGCAGATCCCTGGAAGGAAACCTTCTCATGCAGAAAGAATACAATGCAAGTGTCCTGCAGCAGGTGGGTGCAGGTGTGAGCATGAATGCAAAGGGGCCTGCTTGGCAGTGTGGAATGAACCAGAGTAAAACAGAAGAATGTGAAGACTGGCATTTATGAGCCCAGGCCTTTGTGAAGGTCTTACACTCACTGTTCACACAGCATTACCCAACGCCGCTTGTGCGGGGGAGGTGGGAGGCCAGCTGCTAGAGGTTTCTGGGCTGAGGAGGGACTAAATCTCAGGACCACGTGGCCACTATGATGAGACACACTGACTGATGGGATGTAAAGGACATCCAGCTAGAGGCTTGCGTGGTGATCCAGCTGGGAAATGATGACAGCAATGGCCTGGGAGACGTAATTGGAAGTGGACAGAGGCACAAGCCCGGGGCTGGATATGGAGCTTGCAGAGAACCTTTCTACTAAGCAAGCGAAGTAAACAAGAAACGGAGATACACTTGTTTGGAGCCCAGGGCAGAACCGGAAGGCAATGCAGACAATTTAACCTTCCTCAAGAACTCTAGTAAGTTATAATAACTTGCATTATTCCTCAAGAACTCAGCTTTCAAAGGTAAACAGATGGATATAAAATTTACAGAGTCAATTTAGTTGAAGTGTACTTGCATTCCTGTCAACCTAGTGCGTTTCAGTAGGATTTACAGTTCATTCCCATCAGAATATTCGCACATATCTCCACCCAGATCGTGCTAATCTGGAGGGTAAAATCTTAAAAAGTTGCCTATGAGCGGAAGTTGCTCTGACATTTGCCTCTGATTTGCCGTGAACACCAAGAAAATCAGCACTGTACACAAGACAATAAAGGAGCTGCTAAGTCCATTTCAGAAAAATACTCCTTTATTCTCTTGAAAGATTCTTGTAAACTATAATCCATGTCTTGTAACAGTCTATTCACCTACAGGGAACACTTTAATGAACTGTGGCTACAATATGTTTTCTACTCAAATAAAACCACCTAAATGTAAAAATCTATACAACCCATATCTTCTTAGTAAACCAGTCACTTTAAAGAGAGACATTGTTATAACCAAGTTGCATTATCACAAGCTGTGCAGCTCAGGCACAAGCAGGAAACAGTGACATACATCAAGAGACCTAAAAAAAAATGCACACAATTTAGAATCATACTCAATATACACAGAGACTCTACCAAATGGAAGGGTGGAGAAAATGAAAACATTTGCAAAGGTATTTATTGAGAAATAGTAAAGATGTACATATTTTTACAAGCTTTTAATATTAATTTACATTTCTTTAAATTATGTAGGCCTCGATAATCTATACTTTACTAACACATAACAGAGTCCCTTGACTTTCACTGTGAGATTTCCATTAACGCTACCAGAGTTGGGAGTCAGAATGCAACTTTGGCTCATGATGCTTACATTTGTTTTAAAAGAAATACTAAATGCCATATCCACCGAGAATGTAGGCGTGTCACAAACAAGGGCAATTTAAAAAACAACTTCTTAGTGGAGCATGCTGTTGACATTATTTTGAATCTGAGCTGACCAGAGACTAAAGGAAAAAAAAAAAAAAAAACATTTTTAGAGATGGTTATTCCTATTTCTTTGTGAATAAACTATATGATTCTAAAATATTTTTGCCTCTGACTTTGATTTAAATATTTTTCAGGGATATAGTGTCTTTGTCATATGCTATAACATCACAGCCAGGCCACTTATCTTGCTACTAAACTTACATGGCCTTGATATTTTTTAAGGTGCAACACAAGTGGTCATGTTTCTGAATAACAGACCAATTTTGTGTACTCGACAGTCAAAAATCCATTTTAGTTACAGAAAATTTTTCAAACTAGTTTACAATAAGGCACAATATTCCACATGTAAATAGAACTGGCAAAGTGCTACTTTGTTATTTGTTGATTTTTTTTTTTTTTTTCTGACCAGAAAGGAAGGGGACTTTCTGCTCCGGAAATGGGAAGAGTTCTACCTCCAGCACGCTTAAGTCACATGACCAAGATGTGCCCAGGGCTTACTGGCATCTGCCGAGCTGTTCTTTGCCAATGTCACCTTCAGGTTTTCTAAACATATCACCAGAAAGAAAGATTGTGTGTGTGTGTGCGCGCGTGTACTGGGAGAGGTTAGCAGGAAGCTTCTTGGTGTTTCTGTACCTGCACCTTTAGCAACATAAGAGGACTTGCTTCCTTGATATAAAAACTGAAACAAAATTTAGATATAGGGCCGGAATTCTTTTACAGAAAATGGCTATACAGCAAAAATAATTTTTTATTCACAGTGATAACTCTTACAGATTTTAATGTGCAAAAGTACTGAGAATCAGTTGTAATTCTTTTAATTTTTAAACTGCTATTTTCAAACTAGAGGTCAATAGAAGTATAAAAGGTATTATTGTTTTACTAGTAGTATTGTCAAAAGATTCCAACCATAATTTACTTGCTGTAGTACTTGGGGCAGAGGCAGAAATATTTAAAGAAGAAGGTCTATCTGATATGAATATATGAAATTGGGATCTCATTATCTTTCTGCCCATCATGAACACAGCCTCAAAAGTCACTGAAGAAATGCAGGTTGAGAGTCTGACAAAATAAAACTGTATTTCCATAGTGCATGCGGTGATCTGTGAGTCTAGCACTGACCACATTTAAACCTTGGAGGCCTCAGTTGATGTCCTATTGTGAACCAACCTCTAGTTACAGACACTGACTTGTATCTGGATGCCAGGATCCACATCACGCCCTTTTAAATATACAGCTGCAGGTGCAGATGCCACTAGAATACTTTAGATCTCAAATTCTTACATTTCTACAAGGGAAATCATGTCATAGAAAATGACAGGAGAACCTGTATCGTGTTCCCAACACGGGCTACACACCAAGAAAAAAAAAAAAACATGCAAACACAACGATGACAGGTCCTCCCACAATGAATGCAGCCCATTGTGAGTAACAGCACAGGCAAAAACCAACGCACCCAAGTCTGTAATGTGGAGGGCTTGGATGGATGTGTTAAGACACAGAACCAATCCTGTTTTACTGCTGTCATTTGGTAAAGCTGCCAAGATCTGGCTCACTGCTAATTTGGATTTACAATGACATCTGGGGGAAAGTTTCACAGACTCACTTCATTCCTTGGGAGCTGTCTGGTGCATCCGCCTTTCATGACTGATGACGCTTCATTCCCTCAAGTGGCATTGGGAATCAATGTACTTAGTTGTATCTTAAGGCATATTCATTCAGTGTAAATTTTAAGCTATGTCCACAGCATATTCTAAAGACATTTGGTTGGTAACTGACAATCATTTTCATGTTAAGATATTTCTCTACACAACTTTCGTAGATCAAAAATCTCAAACTCAAAATCATGCAAGTTGTCCTGAATATGGCTCTTAGTTTTCGACAGTAAAACTGTAGAAAGGATACTTGAGACTTCAACATACAGTTTACTTTCTAAGTAAAGGTCCCACAGTGTCTCCCAAACCTTCTCCTTCTGGTTGGATGCACAGATAGTTGCCTCACACAATTATTGGAATTATTAAGAACCCAAATAAAGTACAAGCTTTCCTTTATTGCTACTAATGGTTTCTTTTTGCAACAAATATTTGGTTTCTTTTTGATATAGTATTAAACTTTGATAGCTTGAATTTTAAATTTGGTCTTGTGAAGAATTCGTACAAACTTTTTTTTTGGTTTTGTTTTGTTTTTCATTATCTACAGAGATTCTCTTTTTAAACCAAAATTACATTATAACACACGAACGCTGTCTTGTTTTTAAGGCACAACACATCAGTATGAACATTCTGTTTGCCAAACTTAAAAAAGAGACAATATTATATTCCCATCTCCCCTCCCCAGCCCTCCCCCAACACATGAAAGAAAAATTGCATCCACTTTCAAAGTCAGCTGCTAATAAAGTCACAGTAAATTATTTTCATCAATAATTTACACAAATTACAGGTCTAGAGAGGACTGTCCTTACACAGTCTGAGTGCATTCCGATTCAGATTTTCTGGGCTAGGTAGGCTAAAGTCATATTCAAACCTCAGGGCTGAGAGGGTCTCCCACTTTGAGGAATGTCGTTGATCACCTTGTCACACGGAGCTCAGGTGTTGCTGCTTGGGAGGATTAAGAGTTCTTTACTAAAGCTGTTAATTCCAGTTAGGATTCATTCCATGTGCACCAGCAACCTCCACAGATTTTTCTTAAACCACTACCGTGTTGTGAATATAAGACCATAGAGTTTTCTTTCTGTAGCACTAAAGTTTAATTCCATTCAGCAATCTGAATTCTTCATTCTTGAATTCTCATTCCAAATATGATTTCATCCTTTAAGACAATTTATATGTGTAGAGCCAGAGGCATTGAATCACACATAAAAATTCAGTGTACTTGAAATACATATAAAAATGGATCTCCAGCTAGAGAACACAGTTACAAATACTCTAATTCCAGTGCTTGATGGAGAGCCAAGAGGTCCGAGTGACTTGATATCCTCCAAAAGGGCATGTTGTGCTGTGTGATTAATAGAGAAGGAGGGAGGAGAGAGAAGGGACAGGAATGAAGAATGGAGAGAGAGATCACAGCCATTGTCTCAACGAAGCACAGCGCACAAAGGACCTTCTGTCCACCCGGGTTCAAGGGAGAGAGTTTAATGCAGGGATGATCATATTTGAAGGTGTTGCAGCACCAATGTGGCACGGTCACAATCACAGAGAAATAGATCTGAACTGGATTTTAATGATATAAAAGCAGATAATGAGATTTCGTAGGCAGTTCAATCTTTACTCTGCACAGATCTCATTACTAACATCTGGGAACACCTGCATGGAGGAAAATCCTACCTGGCTGATGGAAAGCAAGTTTTCATCAGCACATCTCTCCACCTTTCAGGGACAAACAAAAGCATAAAGGTCCTAAGTGCAAGGTACTTCATTTATTGGACAGGGAAAAAATTGAATTCTCTCCTATGTAAAAAGAAAAACTTGAAGTTGTACTATGTCAAGTAGAAAAAAAATTATGGGAATGATAACGTTCTTAATTCTCTGCTATAACCAATAATTTAGGCCAGTAGAGTTGACCTGATTTATTTCACTGGCATGGGAGGTAGAGACAGTACTCTGGCATGGATTTTCAGTGGGAGAGATATCATCCCCAAGGGGATAAAATTGGCTTCTTGGGCGGTAAAAAATAAAAACCTTAGACATTGCAATGGTTTGTGGCTCTCCAGAGATATACCGGTATCCAGTATATTTTTATGGCATTAAAATTTCATAGAAGGGGCGATGAGAAAATCTGTCTAAAAATATTCCACTGGGAATGATAATAAAAAAGAAAAACCAGCACTATAGCAACTGACAAAACAAATGTGCTATCTGTAAATCTGGGTGTATATAAAATCTTCTAGGCTACCTATATAGAGAATATTTTCATATACAATGGATATATATATATATATATAATGAATAAGTCATTGTATTTAAAAATTAAGCACCCTCTGTAATCCCAGCCCTCAGGAGGCTGAGGCAGGCAGATTGCTGTGAGGTTGTGGCCAGTTGGGATGCAAAGCGAGTTCAAGGCCAGCCTGAACTGCATAGTGAAACCCTGTCTCAAAAAGACAAAATGATTAAATAAATAAATTAAACATCCTCATGATGATTGCTGTTGCTCTATGGTAGCTATTAGTCACATATGGCTAATGGGTACTTGAGAGATATTTAATCCAGTTTATCATACAGCCTGAATTTCAAAAAAACTTGATGAGTTACAGCACAAGAATATAGCCATCACAACAATAAATTTATAATCATTAGGTGTCGAGATTTAATATTTTGGCTACCTGGGCCAATTAAAATATATCAAAATTAATCCTATCTTTCATTACTTTTGCTTAACATGACTCCTAGGAATTTTTTTAAAATTACATACACATCTCACATTACGTATTTCTATAAGAGAAATTCCTAAACTGTGATATTCTTTCTGAAATGCAGGTCAAAGTAAAACATGGCATGGAAATTTACATTGAAGCCCCCTCTTTTCATTCAGCTCAGATCTATTTGTGGCAATCAAACAGTATTCAGTATTTCTCCACATGCGATTACTGCTACATCCAGAGAAAAGCATGCATTCTAGGCGATAGGGAAACCAACCACCTGTGTTTCCAGATAGAATTATAAGCCTTCACCGTCACCGAAACTGTACCTACTTAAATGAAAATGCTTAACCAAGACTTTTATCCATTTGGAGTCAGCCTTTTTCTCCTGAAGTGTTAGGTGCAAAGCAGAAGGCACAACAGTTTAGCTTCCTTGCCGGGGGTGACTAGAGCAGACTTGATCAGTTTTCATTTTCGAGGCTCAGGCTATTGTTGGAGAAGTAAATTTTAGTTGTCCTGACCTAGATATATATGAATTTTTCATAGGCTAAAAGTGGAGCAAATTTTGAAGGAGTGGTTGCATGGAAAAACTGCTATTTGTTGTGTGTAATTATGAAAAATCAAAACATAAAGGATTTAGGGAACTGACACACTGCAGAGGAGACTTCCAGAGTGTGCCTGCAAGCATTTCTAGGGGCAGTCAGGAATGTAGGTTGGCTTTCTTGAGGCTGTAGCCCTGACCTCATTCAGAACGTCCTTGAAGCCAGTGTGCTGCTTTGAGTTCCTGACCCTGATAATTAATGCCAAGGGTGTTCTGTGTTACCAGCTCTCTTAATGGGATGGAAAAACATGGGGAGTTTCAAATATGACTGCCCAAGATGCCCCCAAAATTTCTGAAGTGGAAGTGCTTTCTCTTCCTGCATTTTATTTGATCTGAATTTGCCAGAAACATAAATCACTTCCTTTTTCTTTATATTATAGCTGTAAATTTTTCTATGAAACTGTAATGATATTCTTATAAAACAGAACTTAGACTAAAAAGTCCAATATACACGTTTGATGAAGACTTCATGAGATGATAATTTAAATTGCTTCAGTATACTAAGGATGACATTCTTTCTATTATAAACAATGTAAGGTGATGTGTTATTGTTTGAAAGTCATCATTTTGCTTTGTAAATTTTATCATTTTTATCTTAGCTAAATAATATTTTATTATTCAGTAAAGGAATCAGTAAAGCTCGGCTATGTTGTTTGTTAGTCTGGCAATGTGGGGGCGGGGAATTCTGCTATCACTTTTCTAGTAATACTGAACTAACCGCTTACTAGTTTTTAACTGTCTTGTTTTTCTTCTCAAAATATGGTCCAGATGAAAAAACTTACAGAAACGTGTAGGGCCTATGAGATCACCTGAAAATCTTCACAGCCAGCTGGTTGTCTTCAGTTAGTACCAATGTCTCACAAAACACATGAGACTCTTGCGGAAGATCTGAGACACATTGGCACAAGAACGTCTGAACAATACACCCAGTTCCAACAGTACTCGTTAAAATCTCTCTCAATGGTTTTTCTTCAGCTATTAAATCTACCCACAGCACACCTACTTCTAGGCAATCATAAGGGCCACACAACAGGCACGACTCATAAGCCATTCACACAGTTTTTTTCTACGACTCATGAAATGTCTTTATCTTGTTAAATTTCATGTGCTTACCCGTAGATTTTCTTCCACATTTCTTATGGATCACTGAATTGCCTATATCTGCATTCACTGAATGTGTACATATGTATTTGTATTTCTTGTGTACTGTATATATTTATGTACAAAACAGATATTATATATTGACTTTATACACAGAAGTCAACAAAAGTTTTTCCTGCAATTCCTATTAAATTTCAGGCAAAAAATGCTAGACTCCAAATGGTTTGTTTGAATGTCAGTATTGACCCTCTCATGCTCTGGCTGCTTTGCAACCATAAATTTAAATCATTTGTCAAGCTGCGGCTGGGTCACACTACAGAAATGCAAACAAAAAGGCTTGCATTAGGAGTATCACACCAACATTGTGTTGAGACAGGTTACCTTTTTTGCTGCCTGTTCTTCTTCTACACCATCCCCAATTACAACATATACTACTTTTCTGCCAAACCTTTGCATTATTCGTTCAAAGCAACTTTCTTTTCCTGGAAGATAAATGAGATAAAGTTCAGAGCGAAGTTACCTGGTTAGCGGCATGCTCCTCATCTCGGCCATCTCCAACCACAACATAAGTTATGTTAGTGCCAAATCTGGACACTATACGCTCAAAACAGCTTTCCTTGCCTGAAAAACAACGCACTGCTTATTCTTCTAGCCACTGCATTCATTAACCTAAAGATTCATAAAGTGTTATGTTCGCGTATCTTGAATATCTCGAGCTAGCTTTTGACCTCTGGCTTTGTGACCTCGCTACCACGTTTCAATAACGTCTTTGCTAAGAGCAAAGATGAAAAAAGTATGTTTCATGCTTCAATAACATCAGTGGGGTTACATGTTTGACTTACAAAAAATTTTAGTATGTTTTATTTCAGCAAAAAAAAAAATACTGGAGCAATGTTACATGCAATAGCAAGTCTTAACAACATGTGCTTATTTAATCCTATAAATCAATTGTATTTAATTTATCTCAAATAGCATGGATACGGGCAATTGAATATATTGTTACAGGAAACCAAAGCGTTACCTCTAAGGAAATACATCCTAAGGTGTGGTTTTTACCTGGATGAACAGATTCTTTCTTCAGATGGGTGGGGCTAGAATTTTCAGATTAATTACACTAAGGGTGCTTTCCAATAGGGCCACAGCACTGAAAACACTAGCGTGTTCTGATTGTACAAGAAAACACCAAGATGGAGACACCACATGGTCTTTGTTTTTAAGAGAAAAGCATTACTCCCTGGACTTCATTCCCAGAATGTCCAAGCAGCCACGATTACTTTTGTATTCACATCTCCAAAAAACAATATTAAAGGGAAAAATGATTTTATTTCTGATTAGGTACAAAAACCATTTGCCAGTATAAAAAGAATATTGTCTTCAAAGAAAGAAATGTGTGTACCATTATATAATCACTTTAATTGTCAAAAAGCAAAATCACACTGTAAATATGAATTCTGCCGGCCCACATGTACACGTTTACATCAAACAATGTGTGAGACTGGGATCCAGATTCTGAGCTGTTGCACACAGAATAATGTGGCATTTATTGCATAAAAGTTTGGCTGTCTCTAACTGTCCTCCAGAAACAGCTGCACCCGGGGGCTCCTTTTGCCAGTGCCAGTATCACTCTTCCACCAGGCCCAGCGCAGGCTATTTTTGGTGGGAGATTTCAGGATTTTGAACTTCTCTTGTCAAGGTGCCAAAGCCTAAGTTTGCTGACCTTCAGGGCACATTACACAACCCATTAATTTTCCAAGGCATTTCCTTGACAGACAGTGGAATACATGTGCTGTTTTCTTTAACTGTTTCAAGATGGCAGAGCTTGATGGAGTTTTGTTTCTGAGTGTTTATTAGAGATCTGAGTATGCAAAATCTGCTTAAAGTCAAAGATAATTATCTAAATAAATAAGCAAGGTTGTAGTCCTTTGGTTGTTACTGAATACATTTGGAATTGCAGATTCCTGCTGCTTATTTTTTATGACCATTTCAATTACGTTTCTTCAATTAGTAATAATTGTGCCTCCGATAAACCTCACTGCCTATGACCCTGCCATGGTGCAAAGCTTGATTATGTTTTCTGATTCAAGAAAGTTTTTATTCTCTCCTGGATGCTATTTGAATCTATTTGTGACTCCAAAATTGTCTTTTTATCTTTAAGATGACTGCATATAAAGGATGCAATACTATACTAATTAAACTATTATGGCTAAGAAGACTGGATATTACCTAAATAACACATGCTGTTGAATATGAGCCAGAACTACCCAGATCCTGAGTCCAGAATTTCTCTGGCCAAGAGTTCTCAAAAATTTTGCACACGCACAGTCAGTTACAGAGGATTCTGTTATTTGAACTTTACCCAGTTTTGCTTGATGTTCTAATAGCAAAATCTTGATGGAAAGGGAATGAAGCAGAGATAGACATGAAGAAAATGCTCTTACGTAGTTGTGAGTACATTCTATTCAGAGTGTAAAATAGTTTCCTTACCTATTTTAGTCGCACTGTAAATATTTTCAATGGGGAAAGCACCTCCTAAGCTATAGAGCAGAACCTTTGCAAGTGCTGGGATCAGCTGGGTTGTTGTTACCAAGACATTTACACAATTACTCCTGAAATAGAGAGGAAACATATGTATGTGTGTGTTTTCTAACACAAAATGATTTCTAATAGCACAAAGTTGAAAACTGTTTTCCAACAGTAAACAACTGTGAATAACACAGTCTCAAAACTGTTGTCTTTAAATTCCATAATAAATGATCCTAGTTAATGTTAATAAGTCACCACATCAATAGACGGACATTTCTTAAATAATAGCAGATTGTTAAGAATGATGTACAAACCGTGATGCTATTGTTACAGAGTTATGCCTGCTATCTGAATCTACGTGAGACCCTGAGACAATACCAAAAGAGTATTTTTACCTTTGTCACAATATCATCAGGATTTGAACATTATTCTTAGTAATCCACTGTAGTATTTTGTCAAAATAAAATTGTATTGAAAGTCTTATGTACATAAATGTTACAGAATAAAAATCTGTTAGAATAAAATGGTTTTGAAATGAAATCTGACAATTTACACTATATGTCATTTGGAGTTCTATCCTTCCTTTTTAAAAATTATGTACATGGTGCATAACAACATTTGTAAAAAAGAGGCAAATATTTTTAGAAGAAAATTATTAGATATTCAGAGATAACTGCACAGATATACCATGTCTGTTTTTCTGTAGGTTTTTCCCTACTGGGATCACACTACACATGAATATTTTTTCTCTTTCTACCCCTGCCTTCCTCTTTTACGTTCCTTTTTTCATTTTGTCTCTCACAAGCCTATTAGTTTACATATTACTATAATTTCTCATCTTCAAGTAAAATGTATACAAACTAGACAGGTGGATGAACCATAATTTCAAAGCTCAGTTTAGATGGTTACATGGCTTTTGTTGATCCGATATTATGAACCATGCGACTCCATTTTTTCTATACCTTGGATTACGCCCTGAGTAAAATTCACAGCACTGGAATTAACATCACAGGCTAACTTAAGTTTGCTAAAGCCTCTGATACCTAATTCAACTAAGTGTTTGTTTTCAGACCTTCCACTCATGTTGTAGAAGCTACCAGTATGATAATACATGTGGACAACTTAGCAAACTTCACATTATTTAACTATTCAACATACATTGACTTTTTTACACTGCCCTTTTCTTGTTACAAGTTTAGTTTTTTAAATCACATGTCTATACGGTTCCTCTGAGGTCATCTATTTAATAAAAACATGTGTTGATGTTATGTATTCCCTGTATATAATAATATAATAATTTCTGGTTTTGTCTTACTACAACACCTCTTTATAGAAATAATGAAGACAGTTGGCCTCTTCCTCAGAGAAATGCATGTTCCACTGCATGTTAGACACAAGGTCCAGGGCTCAAGCGTCCACGCCTCAGGGGCTTTCACTTCTGGCCCCTGTGTTACTAGTTAGGCAAATCACAAAGCAACAGCTTCCGTTTTCAAACAGCTTCATTTGTCAGACAATTCCTCACATGGACACAGCATCGCTTCCTAGGATTCCTGCTCACTCATCCCAGGTCTTGCCTTTATGGAGAAGTACCCAGTTCATTTTTAACCTAACATGTCAAACAGGTGACACGAATGATTTGTTTCACATTTGACTTTTCCTCAGAGCAAACCTTCAAGCCCCACCTACTGCTTCCTCACGTGGTTTCTCTACCCTGTGTCTCCCACGCCAGATGCGGGCTTCCACTGTCACAGCTCCCACGAGAATATGGTGTCAAGGTCTGGGCAGAGCACTCTGCTACCCCGCGCACTTAGCTTCCCCGTTTGGACTTCTTGTTACCAGTGTCGTCTGGGTTCTCATCTCGGGGTTGGGAGTCACATTCCCAATGTGCCACCTACCCTCCTTCTTTCACGCTTTCTGTACTGGAGCCCCTTTTCACTCTGCCAAGCTTTCTATGTGGCCTTACTCAGTTAGTACAAATAATATCACTTTCCCAGCATAACTGCGTTAGTCATTTGCCAAGCATGCCTGCATCTATTCACCCAATTCAGAAATAAAACTATGCAATAGGAAAACACAAAGATTAATACCACTGATGAGCTATCACCTTTATATTACTGCCATATTACAAGTTTGTATTACTTTATGAATTAGCATTTACGGCACAGTTTTTAAAAAAAAAAACTTGTAAATGCATTTGGTTTTATTGTTTATATTACCCAGGCAGTATTTCACTGTAGTTTAAATAACCCAAACTTTAGAAATTTCTCAAGATTTTTTCGTGCTTTTCTAGTGTACCTAAATTATGAATATTATGTATTATGGTCTAAAGGGCTTAAAATAAATATTCTTTTTATAAAATAAACATAGCGCTGTTTTTGGTATCATCCCTGTACTTTGGTCACCAATATGGTGCTGTTTCCTTTTTCATTAGAAGCCATGTGAGTTGTCTTTGGGGATTATAAGAGGTTAAAGTGAGAGATGGGTACAAAAATACAATCTCCTCGTTATTCTGAGAAGCAGCGTCCCAAAAATACAACACACACACACACACACACACACCCTGAAAATGAACTCAGTGAATTGCTTTTTCAAACTCTTAATTGCCTAAGAATGAAATAGTTTTACCTTTATTGTATTAGACCTATATCTTCCATATATTTAATATAGAAAGGGCAAGAATCTCACTTACCTAGTACTAATAATTGATAACGACTTAAGTGCATTTGTGAGCCAGGAATCTGTCAGGCCTTCAATCTCTGCCCTCAGCTGCAGCCAGGCATCCCTCTTGGCAGGGCCAAGCAGTCCTGCAAAACCAAAGAGCAAGAAAGATCAGGCGTGGAGTATTTTCTCAGGGAGATCTGGCTTGACATTCTTTCTTTTTAGCATACACAATTTTTATTTCAGTTTAGACGGAAAAGGAGAGAGATGCAGACAGACTGATATTGATCCTTCATTCTAGAAATGAGTACCCATTCCTTGCCTCAAGAAATCTTTCCTGAACACATTCTAAGGGTCAGGAGCTGAGCTAAACATGGGGAACAAAACAGCACAACAGTAGAAAAGTTGATCCCAGTTATCCTGTCACAAAGCCCAGAATCTGGTGGAGTCAACAGTCACTTGACAACTCCCGGGCCTGGTCTCCCTCCAAGATGCTAGAACGTGGTAGGTGTGGGAAAGCAATGGAGTCTACCGGCCCAGGAACACAAACACCAAATACGGCTGCCCCAAAACATTCTGTTTCTTACTAATCACAGTCATATATATCCTGAACCAGTTAATAATGGCTTTATCATATGTAGGTTCTGGGATATTTCCAAAATCAGTGCTACTATAGATACTTTGTTTTCAGACATAGACAGCTGTAGACAATGGTGGAAAGTTAAATGGATTTTGTAACAGAAGTAGGCATGCTAATTTTTAAAAAGATGCTGCTTTTGCTTTCATGAGAAAACAAGATGATATAAATCCATTCAAAAAGAAGGTTTCTTACTTGAAATGCATTTCAGAATGTATATGCACATACACATGTGAATGTTTGTTTTAAATAACAATTTATACTTTCTAACAAGTCTTATCTGTTCTCATTTCATAAAGAGCTCCTGATGTATGAGAAAAAAATGAACGTTTACGTGGTTGTATAAACGTTTTGAGATATAAGACTATTTCTTAGCAACCTTGTCAAACTGAATATAATTTAAATAATCCCGGGCAACAAGGAAATTAAAATATGTAAATGATAAATGTTTACAGATTTCTAGAAAGGGTAGCAATAACATATGATCAGTAATTGATTTTTAACTTGAAATCTTAATCATTTGATTTCATGAGAGTGTCTTAGAAATAGCAATAGAGGGAATTAGGAGAGAAGAGCTTTCCTCCAGAGCCTTGGACAAGGCAGTGTGACCCTGCCACTCCCACAGGGACCAGCTCCCTTTCCGTTCTCACATTATTATTGTCTATGGGTCTTTTTATTTTCTTATCGTTATTACCCGCTGAACATCTATTACATGCTTCAATACTAGGAAGACACAAGGGACCTGACACACAGCCCACCTCTACGAATGCATATGATGGATGTGACATAAGTACTGTCCAAATTATTATGTTGTATTCTCTGACATATATGTGTACTTGTAAAGTGCATACTTATATTTATCTGTGTCATTCCTTTTTGGATCTGGTCTATGCTTTTCAAGCATCCTTCATTTTTGAAGAGAAGAGAAACACTTTAGGAGAAGAGTTTTATATGACTTAACAACTGGCATACGGAATTTTTTTGACTTAAACTCAATCCTGGTAATAAAGGTCATTCAAGCTTATTATATCTAGAAACACATTCCAGGTCACAGTTTCCATGCCACAGGTTTTGGTGTGACCTCTCACATACATGGATGAGTATTCAAGGGTTTAGAGAGTGCCTACAGAGTATGTGAACTTTTAAAAACCAAGATAATCTTAGCAATTTTGTATATGGGAAAGATATTCAGTCAGATAATGTGCAGTTTGTTTAAAAAAAAGATAATATAGACTTGGGAAGTGACATAAATCACTATCTATGTTGACAGTGTTACAGAGAGGTAATGGTCACCATAGCTATTTCAATGACGAGGCTTTGATCTTTAGAAAAGTCTGTTTTCCCCTGTCCCAGAGAGAGGTCTCATATCTGATTTTCATGCTAATGTCACAACTATGAGTCGATAAAATTAATTGAATTCGGCTGGGGATTTAGCTCAGCGGCATAAGCGCCTGTCTTGCAAGCAGTCATTCGTGAGTTCGATCCCTGGTACCGATAAAAACGAAAAAGACAAAAAAAAAATTAATTGAATTCCTCTCTGTGCATCTTGAACCACTACTACTGCATGAAGCCTCACCATGTCTGGTTCCTCTGATGGGCACAAATGTTTTATTCTGCAGTTAAATTTTTCCCAAGAATTCTAAGAACCTAAAACTTCTAGCCCAATGTTCTTTAGTAAGAGCTTTTGCTGGGTCTGTTTTACAGTATGATAATCTCTAACATGAAACTACAGTTTGAATTCAAGGTATAGCCAGGATGCCTCTGGTAGAATCGATAAAACCCACCTACCTCCGACATTGTTCTTGTAGGTGTTATATAACTCTTTTACTCTTCTGTAACGAAAAGCCAACTTCCTCATCCAGTCCACTCCTCCTCTTACACCTGTTGGCAAACAAAGGTTTGCACTACTTGCAGCTGCATGGAAGCCATCAGTTGCAAAACTGTAGGTACTGCAACACCCAAAATACATTAAAAAGAAATAAAAGAAATAATTACAGGTGCAAAACTCCATCGCTGAATTTCTGTAGGAAACAGCATACTGAAAGGCATGGCTTACCTTAAGTCTTGCCCATTATCATCAGAGGAAACATCATCTATATGAACTTGATCGCATTCCTGTTAAAAACATGGGAAATGTGACTGGTTTTCAAATGATGTTGGTCTCCTTGTGAATTTCTACAGGTCCACGAGACCAAACTTCTGCCAGAAGATGGCAGCATTGGCCCATCCAGCCCACCACCTCACGTTTACTGTAGGTCAGCGTACTTGTGCAATTGCCATGATTTTAAGTTAGAGAGTACGTAGAGCAGCTAGGATTTTGAAGAAGGATTCAATTTGTCTTTGTTGTTCTAAGAATTCTGTTCCTCCCCCAGATAATCTTCAGGGTCCCTGTGAAATGACACCAGGGCTACCTTCTAAAATGGAAATGCAACCGTGTGACATCCAAGAGATCTGAAATTATGGCATATGGGTGGCTGCAGAGCAATTTAAAAATCACTTGAATCTTTAAAAAAGTAAAAAGTATTCTAATCTTAAAATAGTGAGTAAAGAGTTCTCTTTTGAATCTTTGTTCAAACCTGTGGGTTTCTTCTTTCCATTTCTGCTGTGTATATATAAGCAATGCCAATCTGAAGACACAAACAAAATTTATTTGGTCTGAATGCCTCAGGTAGCTACTATTATTTACTGTTAACGGTCAGCAGCACAGGGGCTGGACCACAGAATGTGTTGTTCTGTGAAATTTCTGTGACTTCCTGCTTTTTCTGAAGGACAAAGGACATTATTTTAGATGTGCTGGTCTTTTCACACAGAAAAAAAAGGTAACAACTAACGTCTTTCTTTGTCCAGGTTTTTAATATTTTCAGTGAAAATAATAGTTAGAAATACAAAGGAAATAATGAAGACACATCGTTTCAAAAGTGCTGCAGACTCCAAGCGAAGTGAACTTCAGGCCGTATCTCCATTTAGCTGACCAGATTTTAAGTTAGACTGTGATCAGAGCAAAGGAGAGATTGGGATAAGGGTTCAATTTGTCTCTGATGCTTTAAGAGTCCTGTTCAGCCTTCAAATCACCTGCAGCATCCCAGTGAAATATTACTTGATTTGATAGTGGCATATGTCTAGGACATTTAAAATATCTAACTTTGTGGTTAATAATAAATCATTATAATTTATCATATGTACATAAATAACTTTAGAAAAAGTGTGGCTTAGCCTTTGGGCCTCTTTTATCTGCCTCAAGTTATTTAAATCACAGTAATTGATTCTGACTATATGTAGTGCTAATCGTTTAAAGTAAATTTTTATAAATTTGTTAAATTTGAAAACATGCCATATCAAAGCCTTTTAAGTTATTATTCAGATTCATCATGGGACTTGGAAATGTCAGTAGGCAACCATTTAATGTTTCCAGCTTTCCATACAGAGCCTGTAAATCATGTTGCCCTTGACTCTGTCTTCCCTTAAAATACAAAACTCAGGGACAGCCTCGTCAATGCACTTTGACATGTAAACTGAAAACCAAGGCACAGTAATTTTAACTGTTCATAAGGTTTATATAAATTATAGGGTTAGTAATTTTTAAATCAATCTTGGCCTACATTCACAGGTAGGGATCCAGAAAACTTAATCTAACTAGAAGTTTCCATGGGGTGCCATTTCATTCATCAGGACGCATCCCCTTCTAAGGAATAATCTGGCAGAGAAGAACCAATAACTCATGAATTCTTTTTTAAACAAATGGCAGAAGTCTGGTGAGTTATAATTCTTGACAGTGTTACTGCAATCATGTAAATTTTCTAATATAATGCTGTATAATATAAACTAATATTCTAATCAAGATTACCTAGAAAGGCAATAGAGTAGGGTAGAGTTAGGGATGCCTGAGCTGTGGGTAGAGAGGCTTTCAGAAAGTTTCTCCCCATCTGCCCAAGAACTGACTGAGGTGAGTTCACGGCAAAATGTAATTATAGGAAGCACGACGCTTCCAGAAATACCTCTCAACAGAGCTGCAAGTACTGGGATAAGCTGTTGAACAGAGCAACAGCAGGCAAAGTGGAGAAATCTTTCTAGCCAGCATGAAAGTGAGCACAAATTGTCTCAGATTATGGAGAAACCAGGATAGTTCTGTATGATAGTTATTTCTTGTTCAGAGAAGGTGATATTCTTGGAGAATATGTAGAGTGAGATAAATCACTATCAAAATGTTATGAAATGGTATTACCCACTCTATCGAAGTTCTGAAATCTTTCCGCATGTAAATAAAAAGACACAATGAATAGTAAGGCTGTGCCCTATTCCGTATCCTTCTTTTGTACCAAACTAATGATAACCCAACAACTGAGAGAAGAAGCCTAATGAATTACCTTGGTAATCAGAAGGTGATTCTATGTTTAATACTCTTGCCTAATTTTTAAAGGAATTTTTCTGACATTTCAAGTATTAATGCTCATGATTAATTTATACATAGATTATCCAAAAAATGTATTTTTTACCCCTGAGGACAACAGTATATCAAACTTACTGGACCATGCACTCTATATTTGAAGTTATGTTTGTGGTTTTTCCAAATCTAACTTCTCTTTAAATTTATGCCTAGTTAACTCTGCCTGTTGACTCTGGGCCTTTGCCCAAGGATTACGGTCCAGAGAAAGAAACTTGACTTTCACTCATTTACTTTTTAAGGAAAATCTAAATAATTGTTCTTCAATTAGACTTCACTTTGAGGAACTATTCAAGAATCACTTTGACTCAATTCTGAAATACCTAAAAAAGCATTAACTTTGATTTTAACAAACTTTAGTGGAAGACCTCAACATTTGAAATAATTTCAGTGCTAATCTTAAATACTTTCATTTTGTCTGATAAGGTGACGACAGAATTGTCACTGATATTTTGCAGTTATGATCCACAGGGCTCTTCTCTGACTTCGAAATCGCAAACTCCCTGGTGCCTTCGTTTTTGGAACTTATTCTAACTGAAAAAATATTTTATTTAAGCAGAGGGGATTCTCTTCTCAAGGGGGCAGAGCAAGCATCTGCCTCCTCTGTGGTGGAGTCGGATGCAGGGAAAGGTCTTGCAGGATTTAAATTTGTGTCTTTTAAGGAATTGTGAGAGGAGCAGCTGCTGCTGCATGTGTTCCAGTATTTGAGTCTCAAATTAGATTTTTAGGTTATAAAAAAGATCCCCCGTGATTAAATATACAACGGGAAAAAACATAGCAAGCTAACGGTAGAGTTACTATGAAGAATTCTTTCCTCAGCAGAAGCCGAGTAACTTAATTCTAGTTGTAGAGTCTTTGTAATGAGGTTGTGAGAGCTTTATTGAAAAAAATAATAAAAACATTGTGTGAAAGTAAACTAGACTTTCTAACTGTGCTTTCACAAAGATGCAGGTCAGTTGGTGTGTGTGTAAATATACTGAAAGATCATGAAAGTTATTGCTTAGATTTCATTAGCCTAGCAATAAGAACTTTTTAGTTTCCTTGGGCATTTTGTCTGGGATGTGCAAGTGTGTGCAGGAGTGTTCATTCAATTTATATGCACACTCAACTATGTTACTGATCAAGAAATACTGAATAGCTAGACTCTAAGGTTTAAGCCCATCAGTATTTTATCATATTTTAAAGCACAACTGAATGAGTGAATAAGAGTTAATATTTTTTCAGTTAATGGAACCCAGGTCATTTTTTAAAAATACCTTTAAAATAATATCTAATTCAAAATAAAAAGTCCTAAGACACCAGAGATGATCACTATGTTACAAATGTGTCACATACAACTTCAACTTATTTTAATGTCATACTAAAAGGTGAACAGAAAACTTATTGCATCTATTTTCTAATACACCAATAAAAAATAAAATTCCTTTTATTCTGGGTATTTCTAGTAAGAAGTAATTAAGCAAGTGAGATAAAACTTGTATAAAGCCACACCTAACATTTCTTATTTCCTTTTAAAACTCTGAAAGGAAAAATCAACTTAGACGCTTCTTAGACAAGACTTATTCATGTTAATAAGCAGAAAATTAACTTAAAACATCATCACTGTATATGGGACACTGTATGCCTTCAAATTCCAGAAAGGTTCCAATGTGTCTCATATCCACCAGTGTATGTAAAGGTATTCTGTACATAACAAGCAAGATTAATAAAATCAAATTTTAGTTGATTATTGTTTCTTATGTAAAACTGGAAGCTGTGCTTAGGGACACTAATCTTTCATTTTCTCATTAAAGAAGATAAATAAAACATGTTTAAACAGTCATTTTATTATCCAATAAAAGTACTGATTCATTGCAGAGAAAAAAAATCATCATAATACAGATGATTTTCAGAAAGCATATTTGAAGAGTTAAGCTGAAATATTTACTTTTAGTCTCATGCCTCAGTTGTGAATATGAATTTAGGACCTTGTCAATTTAAAAACTTATTTAAGTCAATCACTAAAACTTGACTCATTTTTTCAGTCTCACTTTCAACATAGCATAGTGCAGAAGTACGTGGTCTGATGCCAAAGTCCTTCAGAATCCCAGTTCTGCTGCACAGCTAGCAGATAACCTTGTACATGTTTTTTATGCTCTGTGCCATGCAGCTTCTGCCTCACCAAATACTGTAATACACGTGTTTATTCCAAAACACTGTCAAGAAATTAATGGGAAGTCCAGTATAAAATATCTAGAAATAGTTATGGATCAGTAATAATCACTGTCTTCCCATTCATAATGTGATTATACAAAGTACTTTTATTTCAATGAGAAACCATGAGATAGATAAACTTAAACATCATTTAAAAAAAAGAAAGAGAAATGTCTACTTCATTATATTTGCAGTTTCCCAAGAAATATCCCTGCTCTGTGCAGAAACTACTTAGCTGCTTCAGTTTCTGTGGTCTGGATTTCCAGGTTATTAGTACACAGATTGTATTCCTTATTACAGTACATAGGTAGCTATTCTTAGGCAAGTTTTTCTGATGCTTTTTCATTTTGTTGTTTATTTTCTCTTCCTCTTGTTTGCATTACCAGTTAAGATTAGAAATGTAAAGAGATAAGACTGAGAAAAAAGAAAATAAATTCTTTCAAATTCATCAGAAGTGCTACATAAATACTTCTCACAGTGTTTTATGTAAAAGGAGAGGAAGTGAAGAAGGGTGACGCTGCCTGAAGACAGGTTCCCGACTATCTTCAAAATTCTGTAGCCCACACTGTGGCCAGGGAGAGTCCCTGTGAACTTTGTCAGTGAGTAAGCTAGAACGTGTCCTGGCTAGCAACCTGGGAATTCCGATTCCAAGGTGCCAAAGGGATCAGGGTTGTGACACTGAAGGATCCAGGACCACAGTCTCATCCTGGACAGCAAAGCTGACCATCTCCTCTTCTCAGATATTTTTGTTCTTCATCATTTGCAGCACACATACACTACTCCAGAAAACAACTGTGCTTTTTCTTTATATGAGTAAACATGCTTATTTCCTCTGGATAAGAAGTTTATAGTTTGAGCCCAGTTTCTATCTGCCAGTTTTTTCACCATTATTTTGATACATGGCACCGTCTAAGGCATTCTAGTGTTGGAAACAACTACTTCTACCTTTTCAACTTCTTACCTCTAAATCATTAAAAAACAAATGTGTATCAGCAAGATTAAAAATCATTTCCTCCATTCGGAGTCCAAGGGTTACAGCCATGGGGGGATCCTGAAAAGACAACACACATATGATGAGATCAAGTCCCACAACCACAATTATTAGTATGCAAAATATTTGAAGCAACTTTTGCGTAAGGCATAGGGAGAAGATACTTCGTGGGACTGTTACTGAGGATTCAACAAATATTTAGAAGGAGGGAGAATAAAAAGAGGTTAATGTTTGCATAAAAATAGGAGGCAAAATTTCCAAAATATAATAAACTATTACAATAGGATGACTACAGCTAAAATATATATTAGGTAGAAGAAATTATTTTAAGTATCTCCAACAGAGAAAAATAATAAATGTTTGAGATAACACATATGTTAAATTCCAGTTTGACAATTGTAAATTACATACATATATGGAAATACGTGAAGTATCTCCAAAGTATATACATTATGTATGAATTGAAAACTTTAAAAAGAGAAGATATTTTAAGAAGATTTTCCTGTTATCCTAAAAAAAGTGCATTTCCAAAAGACTGATGGGGTATTACAATGATACACGCATACTCATGACTATGTAAGAACAATTTGTATGCCAAATCTTGGAAACAGGCTATATGCCCATCAACAGATAATAAATAAAATGCAATATTTCTACACAGTGGAGTACTATTTTACCATAAAGTAGGAGAAACTGAGGCATTTATAGTTAAATGAATGCACCTTTTATTTTGGCAGAGGAGAGGATTGAGACAAAGTCTTGCTATGAAGTTCAGCCTGGCCTTGAATGCAAAATAAAAGATAGTGATAAGGAGTAGGAAGACTTTTTTCAAATGGAAAAAAGGAAAAGAAAAGGAGGAAGGATTAAAAGAAGAACTGAAGAAAGGGGGAAATAGAGCTTTTTCAAATTAAAGGGCATCAAGAGTTGGAGCAAGGAGGGATGAGAGGGAAACGGAAAAAAAGAATAATGATGCACTATGTACATGGACAAACTCCAGATTATTGATGTCATTGTTTTGCACTTTGAGCACACTCCAGTCAAAAATGCACTACAATAAAAATAAAAAACCAGTGTAAGGTTCAGAAGTGCAGAATTTTGGAGGACAGGGAGAAAGAAAGGTTGAAACACAGGCAGATACATCTGTGAGTTTATGGGAATTTACACATCAGCAGAGACAACTCGGGACACATTCTGATCTAAAGCTGTATGTCCATGAGAAGGAGTAGTAGTAGAAAGCCAGTCAGTTCATATAACAGAGTTCAAACATACTGCATGGAAAATCTTTTGGAGAAAGGTGTTTGGTTAAAGTACTACAGAATAGAACAAATTTGCTAAAAGAGGAACACATTTCACTTTCAAAATGGTGATGAGAATTAGAATACAAAGAAAAATTAAGTCAGTGGATATTTGTAGGAGTTGAGAAGAGAATATTATAGTAAGATGGAAAGAAAAAGACTGCAAATGCCTTGCAAGTGTGTGGTCGTGAGTTCGATCCCTGGTACCGATAAAAGAGAAAAAGCAAAAAAAAAAAAAAAGTAAATGAAGGCACAGTCACTGCTAACCACGGACTACATTTTAATCGACAGATGTCTCTGTCTTAGTCTTATGTGTACAGTTTGATCTAAATTACACTTGTTTAGAGAAGAACAGGGAAAGATGAAAGATAACTCAAAGGCAATTCATTCATTTAGTAACAGACAGGAAAAAGTATATACTTATAGAAAGTAAAAGGGGTTAGGGAACAGTGAAAATGATTTTGTTTTCAGAAACCAAGATCTTAAACAGCAGTCAGGAGTTGAGAATCAGGACCAGAATTTTTATTTTACCAAGATCAACAACAGCTGGAAGCGTGGAATGAAGAGATACAAAACTCTGAAAGGCGATGAGACTTTAAAGACAGGATGAAGACCTAATCTATGCACAAAATTGTGTTGCATGATTGCTAAAGAGGAAGGGCCACCAGTGTGACTCTGAAGCACAGGTCACAGAAAACCTGGGAGGGACAAACCCTTCGACTCTGAGACCAGATGGATGTCAGCAGGGAAAAGAACATGGTTTTGAACAAGGATGGCACGGCTAGCAGGACGCCATTGGTTTTGGCTGAGAAGTTACTGTGAAGGACAACGGAAGGTGATTTAGGTGGAATGCTTTGGCCAGGAACCAGATTGGTGGGATCTGAGAGGAGAGAAAGCAAATGGAACTTTCAACACCAACAAGTGGCATCTGAGGAAATGTATGTAAACTTGGGAAAATGTAATACTAACTTATTTTGAGTTTACGATACAAACAGGCAACCTGTGTCTGTCCCAAAGATACCCATCTGTATCCACATCTTAATTCCATTTGCAAGTAGCAGGCCCTCCACATTCTATATCTACCCACAGCAACACATTTTATTCTTGTATTTCCTCACATGCTTTGAGGGAGAAACTCTAGAGCAGTGGTGGCAAACCCACAGCACGAGTGTTTTCGTTTTTCTTTTAAGATATCAATGTGTGAGTTTTCTTCTAGAAACTACAGTATTCATGTTTAATTGCAGTGTTGGCACTCTGTGATGACTAAGTGGGTTTTGGGCTGCATTTTGGGCACCGGCCTGTAAAAGGGTCATCATCACTGCTCTGGAGTGTGTGTGGATTGGGGCTGTCATTCCCTTACTCCACAGCCATTACAACACGGAAAACAGAACCTGCATGCTGAAAAGTAGAGACTGAGTGCTACTGGGATTTTGACATGTAGAGGAGAAAGCTAAGATGTGATGTGGGACAGAGGGCAGTGATACTATGTCTCCTTAGCAGGGGCTTGGGGGAAGATTTTTGCAGCTCGTAAGTCTCCTTTATTAGAAGTGACTGTCCACTGGTCACATGCCCAGTGGTGTCCTGGTTCTGTGCTCTCCAGCCAGTTTGGTTCTACCCCCAGATACTTGTCTTCAAGCAACAGGACTGCTTGAACAACACAGCCGCAGACCAAACTTTTATCCAGGAAATGTATATTTAAAGAGAGGGAAAAGTGTGACATGCTTCTTTTTGGTCTCAAAGAATTTCAGAACTCAAGATCCCTTGTTCTTTTTTTTCCTTCAGTACTAGGGATTGAATGCAGGGCCTCAGGCATGCTAGGTAAACGTGCTACCGCTGAGCAACATCTACAGCCTCCAAGTACACTGTCCGTTCTCTTTCTTTCTTTCTTTCTTTTTCTTTCTCTTTCTTTCTCTTTCTTTTTCTGAAAGAAAATCAGAAATCTGCATACAAATGTTAAGATATACACATTTTGCTATGTGCAGTGGTGTATCTTTGTAATTTCAGCACTTGGGAGGCTGAAACAGCAGTGCAGTGAGTTGGGCCAGCCTGGACTACAGTTCAAGTGAGTTAGCCTGAACTTCATAGCTAGTCTCTGTCTGTCTCTCTCACTTTTTTTTTTTTTTTTTTTTTTTGGAGGGGAGATGGGTACTGAATAGGTGATAAGTAGAGAACACAGAAAACTTGTAAATATTCTGCCTAATCATAAACTCCGTAACAAAAAAATCTACAGAAATATCAGGAAAAATCAAATGTAATTACAGCATGAAAACATGTAATTCCATTAGTGACGCTTTCTGCTTTTGAGGAATGTTCACTGATTTGAGACAATAAAACCAAGTCCCATGCTACACTGTTCTGTGTCTGATGATTCCTGCCTTAAAGATACCTACTTCAGATGTGGGTGCAGAAATACTTTACTTTAAACTTTTCCTTTTGAAGCACAGGTTGGTTAAACTCTTACCCTATGAGTTGCCATTTCCTCCCCTTTGTACATTTTCAGTAAAATTATTAAATTGTTCATGTTCATTCTGCACATTCTTTGCATTTATGGATCAGATTTACAGGGGTGGTGAAGACATACCATTCCTATTTGATTTTTATCTCCATCAATTCCATGCTTGACCGTATAATGCTTTATACTACCCAAACAGTGATAGGAAAACCCATGAAGAATGCATTTGGGGTGTCTGATAAGCATGAAAACATATGCAAACTTTTTTTCTTTAAAGTGCAAGAATCCTGTCTCAAGCGCAGCGTTCGCATGATGGGAACTGTGTGGCGGCCGTCCCTTGGAATGCAGCCCCATGGCACTGGGAGGGCTGTCGGCTCGTTTTTGACAAGTTGTGGTGATTCCACATCACACATTGCTACTGCAGCCAGGACTTAGTAAGCCTTCTGGCAAAACACCATTTAGTAACTGGGAAAGTTTAGGTTTGAGCTTTGTTGGGATTGAGGGTACTTAGCTTCCATTTACTAAGGTTTCCAGAATTCAAGATTGTTGAAAAGGAAGTTCCACAGAGATGGGCTTAGGACAGTTATGATCACAGTCAAAGAAAACTGTGCCATAGGAGGTGGTGACCCTGATTCCCACAGAATGTCTGGTGAGGCCTTATGTTAACTACCTCATTTCACTGTGTGCTGCTCTGACTTATCAACGTCCTAGGGCACCTCCGTGTAAGGAAGCAGAATGTGGTGCTGCATTTTTGCAGCTAAAACACCCACAGACAGTGGGCGAGGCCTCTGCAATGTCCTGAGACACTGGGCGCCCTCTGCCTTGCCAGGCTGGGAGCTGCTGCCAGTGCCTGCAGTTGTAGTGTTTTATCAGGCATTTGAGAGGGAAACGCACTTTTGGATGGAGCCCAGGTCTTATACAGAGATGTTTGCTCATTTTCATTAGATGTTTATAGAATCACAGGCACCTTATGAATCAACCGTCGCTTTTTTTTTTCCATTTTACTGGAGTGAGTGTTGAGTTTAGGATCTAAATATGAAGTGATAGTAAAAACTTGTATAATAGGGGGAAAGTGGGATAATAAAGGCACTAGCCAGGTTTTGTGGAAGTTCTGATGCATATTATAGTGTATTATAGTTCCAAAAGGATTCAAAGTGTCTGCAACAGAGTTTAATACGGAGTAAACTGAACATCTGCCAATTTATTTTGTGTACAGCTCTATCAAAATACTGAAACTATTCCCACGACATTTGATTGAATGTGGAAAGGAAAGGAAGAGGGAGAGAGGAGAGAGGGAGGGAGGGAGGAAGGGA